ACCTAGTCGGTAAATCTAAATTGAAACCAAACACTCCACTAGGCGCGCACAGAATGCAGGAGCACAACGGAGAATATTTTGAAGGAGGAGTCACTATCCTCACGCAGAAATCGAAAATATCAGCACGTAAAACTCTTGAAGCGTTTTGGATCAATTCCAAAAATTCGAAAATGAACCGCAAGGAGGAGTGTTTTGTCATCACGCGTGACCTGGCGCCATACCTCAGGCTGATCCAATGACCTGACACAGGCACAGTCTTCGCCCATGTATTACTTTGTGCGGCTGCTATCCATCAACTAACTTAAATATTTACAACAAATAAACGGTAGGTGTTTAATTGAAACTGTTTATTATGCGAATGCAAATTTATTTCTTAAGTTTTATCTGCTGGGGTCATGAAAGTGTTTGGTTGAGTAGATCGCATCTCAATTTGACCTTTCCAGGCTCTGAAGAAGGCGGAACCGCCGAAACGTCAGCTATTGTATCCTAATAAGTTCTATAATAACAGCCTCGTGTCTGCTTATTGAAGAAGAAACAGCGAATTATTCTATCAGTGCCGAGGTTAATAGAAAGTTGGACGTGGGAGTTACTACAAATTCAATATTTAATATTCCTTCGAATTATTCGAATTCTTCGAGTTGTTTTTGAAACACTGAAGTTTCCCTTTTACTTGGTCACAGTAAGTACTACTCTATATAGATGAAAACGCTATGGTTCTTTCAAATCTCTTTATTGACCCGTCCGAAAACTTCAACGTGGGTGGTCTATCGAAACGCGTGTGTTACTTTATAGTTTATCCTCATAAGATGGTCACCAAGGTTATGGACCAATTTGACATCTGCATCCAGAAGCTAGACTAAGATTTGTGAAGTGGTTGCCGTACCAGAAAAAAAATGTAATATCAGAACAGCAAACCTCCCTCCAACAAATGAGTTGGCGATTGCTCGCAAATTCGGAACACACAAGTACTGCAGTCTTGATGCCCTGTTAGAAGAAAAAGATTTCTGAGATCAAGAGATCGTGGATCAAATAAGACGCCTTAATCCTTCACTATGCAGCGCCGAAAACAAGCCTACTTGTGTAAGCCGGTATGGTATGTTCCATAATTTAGTAGATCAGTAAGTCCACTTGGGATGGAAGGTTTTCACTACTCAAACCGTATTTTGAACACTTTATTGATTACGTTGAAACAATAGGTCCGCTTAGCATTGCATGGGCAACAGTCTACAATTTTCTAAATAATCACGTATCATCGGTCCCTTATTTGGTCTAGTTTGAATAGCCATTCGTCACAAAGTGGATTACTTTCAGTATAACTTTTATTTGACTGATATATTGCTGATTCGACAAGGTTTCTTCTATGAAGACTCGAGAAGTTCATAACAGCCAGCACATTCCCTAATCATCACCGTAGGCAAGCTTGCCCGCCAGTGTGGTGGAAAGATTTGCCAGCGAGCAGTTAGATTTACTCCAGGACGGAGGTGATTTCCAGCATTAGTCTGCACTTAGCGTGACTTCTACATGAAATGTCGAAGCTATTTTCAGTTTCTGTGATCTCAATGAAGAGTGAAGTTGCTGCAGTGCGCAACTGAGTTCGTTCTTCGCAATTACGAGGAAAGGTTACGCCCTTAACAGACCATGATAAGTTATGTTAGATAAGAAACAGCTAACTGACTTCGAGTCATATGAAGTTATGCGGAGTAAGAAAAAGAAAGCTAGAAAGACGAAGAAAAGAATGCTAATACTGGCAGAAGCTACAAAGACTTCTAAAAGTTTCTAAATGCCTCTTGATGGTACGTTCTCTTTTCAAGGGAGTTGCTAAGGATGATCAGGAATGATCGAGGCAAATGGCCTGTCAATAATGTGCAAAACTGACATTATACAGTAGTTTATAATGTCGGTCAAGCTTTCTTTTACAATAAATGGTGACCTTCTACCTAAATAGATGCAGTGACAGACGCCAGTCTAATGTTCTAGCTTAGGTTCTTCGAACATTAAAAGTAAATATGATTCATCTGGTCTTGATCTATCCCTCAAGGATGCTTCGTGTATTTGGTCTATTTTGGACCTCAGATGACGTAGGCTCTCAAAAGCTGCTTTGGCCGCGCATCGTTACAACTCAAAGGTCTGGTGCCGATCGATATTTGTTCAAAAAAAAAATCAAGTGATTTTGCAGATAAAGATTATAATCATATTTCAGCAGTCTACAAAAGCTTTTATGCGTTGACACCTCCTCCGTCCTAGCTCGTTTCAATGATATTTTATCGGAGTCTCCTTCGAAATAGTGGGAACTGGGTCTTCCATTCTCGTCGTTAGTGCTAGAGACTGGATTCCTGCTGTAACATACAGCAATCAACTATGGGTATATTATAGCATACTGATATAGGAATTCTATGAGTTGGTATATTGTAGAACTTCCAAGTTTTTCTCTACTTTTCGAATTTGTCGAAACAGAACTTTGTTTGGATTTACAACGTAACCGTTATCTTCATTATCATTTGATTCTAATCTCCAGAACTTCCTTGAAAAAAAAAACTCCAGTCGCAATATTAATATTTCAGCTTTTGTTACGAGTTTGCAGCAGAAAGAATGCTTCATTGTTGGAAAACCTCCGATATGTCTGCGCAAGTTACGGCTATACGTAAAATGTGGAATGAGTTAGGAGCTGGACGACGTCGGCTGTCGACGAAGCGCCAGTCATACGGTGCCCAAGTGTGGTCGTGAAAAAGACGAACCTTATCACCTATCAGCCGCTGCTCTAATAGCAGTCAGTCAGCTGAAATGCTTATTGTAGACGTTCGTATCGATATCCTCATCGCCTGACACTAGTAAAGCGTGCAGCTCTGATTCCAACAACAGCACAGAACCTCCCTGGCTAACATTCTGCTAAGCTTGAGGATGCAGCATTAACACATCACCTGATAGTTTAAAAACTCCACTTTCAGCGGACGCAGCAGAAGACTCAGACCTGAAAGGTTCATATATTCAGAACTCGGTGCCTTGCCCAAGTAATGTCGTGTTTACTAGGATATCATTTCAATGTACTTTAGTATGTTCAGAAATGGTGGGTAATGATAACCAGCTACTTTTTTCAATTCGCTCTCAGCTGCGCCCAGTTTCTATTCTACCTTGTATTGCAGCTCAAGCTGGTGCATGGCTGAGTGATCTTTGCTACTATGCTACACGGGTTTCCAAGTTCTTTTTCACGACAGCACAGCGAAACAATCAATGAAACACTGTGGAGTTAAGCGTGGTGCTCTCGCCTTCCGCGTTAATGTTAACATCTTAGATATAGTACCAATCAAGTGTTTACTCCTAGTAGTCCAGCTCCCAAATTTCATCTTTTTCACTGTTTTTTAACCCCACCTCCTAGAAATCAGTATATTCTTATTGTTCTAAGTGGAAAACTTGTACGTCTCACAAAATATCCAAATATAGCGTGACAACGAAATATTTGGTGGAGCTTATAGAGCAGTGGTTAGAGGTGCCCTCTTACATTCGTGTGGTCATTGGTTCGATTCTGTGGCCTTGGCTCACCATACCCTCCATGGCTCCTGGGTCAGTAAAATGCTACTAGACTTGTCTGGGACAATAGAAACACTGGTTTGATACATTGGCAGGCTACCGTAATTCACTTTTGTAGGCCAGTTACGAATTTTTTTTTACGAATTCAATCAGTTCTGACGGTGCTTGATAAAGTCGAATGCACTGCTCATCCCACACAGTCGAGCAACGCTGGGAAGCTTTATCCTTGATTTTTATACATGGTGATTCTGCACAACTGTCTTCTCTACACAGGGGCACACATGCAACATAGCAGATAACCCGTCATCGTAAATTTCTATTATGACATTGCAAAATTTGGACAAAAGGATAAGAAGAACATACAGGGCAGATCAATTTTTCTTAACTCTCTGAGATATACGTGCTATTTCCAAAAATGGACCACAGGAAGGGATTGGAAGAAGGACGAACTTGAACTCCTGCACTGACTATAACTGCTTACGCACATCTTGGCGGAATTCGCTGTAATGCTAGAGTACTGTAGCACGTCATCAGCTTATCAATCTCGCGTCGAAAAATTTGTTCGATGTAGAAAGCAGTGCTTCTTCCTTGACGTATCTTTGGGTGGCTGTAGTGTTAGAGAAGTTTTACACTATCTTTAACCTCAGTGAGCATTCCCGCCTAAGCAAAAACTGTCTCCATTTCATCTTTATCACTTCAGTACCTGTTCTTCAATATCAATATCAATATCTGGTTGCAATATTGTAAAGAAACCGTAATATTCGTGGCTAAACATGGTGTCCTTGTAGAGAGAAGTTGAATACAAAGTTCCAGACTCTTGCAGCACCCAAAGATAGCTTTCTTCGACTTAATATAATATTGCGAGAACAAAAAACAATAGACATTACTCTCCTTCATTTACAAATCAATATTTGACAATATGAATGAGCAGACTGAATGCACAACAAACGAGTGAGCGTCTCTGCCAACTATCCTCAAATATCAAAGAATAGAGGAGCGAGCATATTACAGGCGTTGATGTCTTCTACGATTGAAAACCACCTTGATTCGTACACCGAAATGCGAGCACGGGTACCAGAGCTCTATAGCGCCACATTTTCATTTGCTGTATGATGCACCCACGAGATCACACCGAAATCAACATTCGTAAGTTCCATTGATGAGTAATTGTTAATAATGACAGGAATAGGATGACCCTACAGGAATACTTTTAGGAAAGTAGGATCTCTAATAGGACTCGTACGCAGATCAATCACTTATAATAATAACGTGTAGACAAAATGGAAAGCAACCGTAGACACACTTCTCTAAAACATCACAATGATTCTGCTGATGATATGTAGATGTATTCTTAACGCTTTCAAAGAAAGGCAAGAAAATTAAGAATAGGAACCACCTTAGTATAATTTGCTTTTTAGACTCTGTTTAGAAACCAGTCACGACATAGGCCTGAGACGATCTTGTAGGTGCCGTATTTAGCTAAAAGCTTCGCCGTAACGTGGTTGCCTTTGTTGCACTTTGAGCGACTTGTAGGAAAACATCATTGAGGTCGAATATATCACGCCATCATCTCGGACAAGAGTAATAGGCACTTCTGCATCGTCGCCACCAAACTCCCATCCCGACGCTTCATTCTTAACAATTGCGTGCGAAGGCACTTGGCAGGTTAGTGATTCGTCTGACCTGGAAAGACTGCATTCTTCTCTACTTCTCTTCATTTTTTTCAAAAATTCTTGGTGCTTTGCACCCTTTCTAAAAGAAGACTCGACTGGAAACTTGCTCAACTTTAAACATAAAATCTACCCAATAAAGAAATATTTGGAGCGCCTTAGCGTCCGTTCGCTTAACTTCCGACTGTCAAGAAGTTCCAAGTAGTTTCCATTAAAACAATTTCATAATACATTGCGATGAACCTGTATATGGTTTCCACCGGTGTTGTTCCAAACCAAATTTTGAGATTTGGTTTCATGTTATAACCAGTCAACTCTACACGGGCCATTGAATCGCTACCAGTGATGTCCAAACCATTGACTACAGGAACTGGCGTTATCGGTTGAGACACAGGTCCCATTGCTTCATAGAACCGATACTCCGCCTATAAAAACATCTAAGAGTTTAAATATAACGGCTCGAAAAACTTCCAAAACAGTTTAAAGAAGTTGAAACTGTGCACCTTATCAGTAGAGATGATCGTCCAGGCAGCACCATCACTTATCTGGTGATGAGTGGCATCTATTATAGTGGCCTTAAGAACATAACAAATAATTACATCCTGTATCACAACATATGATACGTATCGCTTCAGAGCATTAGAGTTGAATAGAGAGGAAAGTAAATCAGCAAAGAAATGAGATATGTGAGAAAATGGCCAGCCGACCCGGTCGCGCGGATAATGTATCGAGTGAGTAAACACCAGACACGCATGGATTACTGTAGCGACGTGCAGGAGAAAATCAATGAACGTCTTGAAGACATTCGCGACTGTGCTGGATTTTCGATAACTACACATAGTCTCTAGACTACTAAATTAGTTTAAGTGATAGTTTCACACGTCTGCAAATAAGGCTCTTTCTCTGTCGCTTTAAGGGAATATGTCATTAAAAAATATTCGCTCATTGTTTAAATGCGTTTACTTACTTGATACTTGATAACTGAATGGCCCGTCCTCACTGGTTGTGCGGGCCCTAGCATAATCTCCATTTTTCGGAGATTTGCTGGTTAAGCCATTGTGGTTCCTTAGAATTCCGAGGTCAGCCTAGCAAAAGTTTTCTCCAGGTCTTCACCACCACAGGCAGTCGCAGCTCTTGTGGATCACAGGGAGATCTACCACGATACGACTTTGATACCAGGACGGTGGTGGACCCTGGTATTGGTTTACTCTTAACTAGGGTTCCTGATGGAAACGGCGGACTCGTTCTCAGATTTCTCAGATTGGGAGGCTCTGACAAGGGATAAATCCCTCGCTGAACATCGCAGTTCGACACCCAGGGACACCTCTCAGCCACGATGAGGCGGTAAACCTTTGGGAAGTCAATGCGTTTAGAGTGAAAAATTTTTAAAAATTGCAACTTAAATTCTAGCCTAAAGTTTCCAACGCAAGCACAGCAATGTAGACTGGTGGTACATTGGAGAACACCACCGTGTCCTTTTCGACGGCGTATAGTAGGTGCAATTGCTTTGAAGTTCGAGATACGAGCCTCGACGAATAAAACAGTCGAAAAAATACGTTTTGTAGACTCCAGTAAACTACAACGTCATCTTGATAGGAACAAGAAGATTGTGCATTGTTGGTAGAGCCTAATGATTTGTACTTCAACTAACAAAGCTGAAATGAGAAGACATAGGTTGGGTAAAAAACAAAAGCGTCGCGGCGGAATTATCGTGGTTGCGAATGTGTTAAAACGCCTTGAAAGATATGAATGACAGCAAACTTCCTGGAAAAAGTAAAGTAAAGCGCTGAAAGTATCTGAAATGGAAATGATGAGGACGCTTTATTTGATTTCGTATTTCGTCGTTCTTCAGACAATGATCGCAACGATAACGCACGTAGGTCTATGGGTAATGGTTAAATTTAGTGGTTTAACAAACTCCATAAACGTTGAGTGCAAATAGGGTAAACGGATGGGCTTCAGAGCTTAGAACCTCAGATCTAACCTGATGCTGAATGATTTTGTCATGACTGAGACATAAGTAGACAGTTTCGTTTTCAATCATTTGGAACGCACACTTGTGCAGTTGGGATACAGGTTCTTCGTTAGTGGTGGCGTCCAAGATAACATGTTGCTTGTCCACCTGAAGGAGAAATTCTTGTGTCAGAAAATGACTCAGTGGTTCTAAAAAATCATCCCTAATAATTAATTAGAAAACAAGAGACGTACTTTTCTAATTTTCAAGCGTGGCAATGCTATACCCGTAACACTATCAATCAGTTTGACAACTGAACCGTAGTAAACGAAACCTTCTTTGACGGTGAAGTTTTCAGACTCAGGGGCTGTCGGTTCGTCATCGACTTAACAATGGATCAGACTTAAAGTCATGTGAACGCTAGTACAAAATAAGTGGACTTACATAAATGGATGGTGAACGCTCCCCATTTCGTAGAGCTGGCATGGAATGCGCCGTTATCCACATGGAGGTAACGAGTACTGACGGTTTGTGAGCGAAGTCGATTGAACAACGCCACCTGGACCAGAATTCTTAGATGTTTTAAATGAGTGGATAAAAAAGCAAAGTTGGAAAGTCAGTCATCTTTATTTTCCACCGCTGGCAAACTTGTTTAGTACACTATGTCGATGACGGCTTGAGCCAAGCGAATTTTTATACCCACGGAAACAAATGTAAACAAATTTTGCAAGGTCAAAAGGATAAAGCTCTCGGGGTTGAACAATCCCTAAGGGATGCGCCATGAATTCAACTTCATTAAACATCGTTGGAGGTGATTGGATGCGGTACCAATTTAATGACCCTGCAAGGATGGAAGGCTTGGTGAACCTGGGGCGCAGGAATCGATCCAATGTGTATTGCAGGGCGCCTCTGCGCCACACGCGCCCTTATTTTGGAATATCTTTCGTTAAACATTATAAACCTACCTTAGTACCAGAAGCAATACACAAGTATTTACAATCTGTATTTTTCATACTTTGTTTCTTCTTAGAAGGTTTGCTGATTACCTAAAAGGAGTCGACAACTATACGAATAGCTATATAGAATCGTGAGCAAAAGGACCTACTTTGATACGTTGTGAAAGAAACAGTCCGATTTCAACACCACAACCATAGAAGAACTGGATTGACAATTCAAAGTACTTTCGTTTATCAGAATCACTGATGTAGAGTGTTTTAGCTGCGCAGTAGTCCTAAAAACCGTGTAGAGTCGCTTGAAGCTTATCGTTTCAAATGGCGGTATTTTAAAAAATTATTCGACATCTGATAAGTTTTTGGAAGTATAGAGCTTAATAGCCAAGCTACTATAAAAATTTCCCTATATGGATCTTTTAAAATCCGGGGTTTCCAAATTGTCAGTCATTAGTAGCACAATGAACAATACTCCAAAACTAGTTTTAAAAATATTAAAACATGAAAAAAACAAGGTTGCATTCTTACATGTGGGGCAATCGACCACATGAAGATGAAGAAACTCTTAAAAAGTCTCACATGCCAAATTTTGCGCTAGCGTTATACATTAGGCCAGATATTACTACTGGTACGCTCCCTTAAGAAGTAATATACGTAAGAGAAATCAACTGTAGGACAATTCAAAAGACCGACTTTCTAAAAACCACGGCGTAAATCATCGATATATTCATTTGTGTTCTTTTATGGATTGATATTTGTTAAGCTGATGCAATTTTGGTATAAGCTGTTGATGTTGTTGTTGATCGATGGCTGACGTTTCGGCGGTTTCGCCTTCCTCAGAGCTGTGCTGTGACGAGTGGGAGTAGCACTTATCACTACAGAACGTCAACTAATACCAACACCAGCTCAACAAGATCAGTTCATAAGAACATATAAATATACGTAGGAAGGGTGTTTCATCATAATCCTAGACTTTTAAAGTTATGAGAAGACAATGTTAGATATATGGTTCACAACTTGTCTACAAATCTAACGATCCAAGTTTTGAACTTAATAAGCACCTTATAGAACCAATAAAACTATGCTCTTATGAAATGCTAACTTTTCCGTTAGAAAAATCCAACTGCTGTCGCTCTTGGTCAGACGGAGCCCCAATGCCTATAAATGCGCACAGCTCGCTTGCTTGTTGTTCCTGAAAAACGCATGATCATTTAGCGGTATAGCAGAAAAAATATTTATTACACCGCAGTGATTACTCGCACTTATGAACTCACGGAGATTCGCTCGTGCTCAGGACCAAGCTCCGGGGCAACACCCATTCGTTTTTGATGTTCTTTGAAGGATTTGTAAAGAGACTCTACCTTAACGATCCACATCATCAGAATATAGCGAATAAATAGCACAAAGCAATTATAAACCCACTCGGTTTCGCTTTTCCTTCCATCCCTCACCAAGTAAGTAGATGCACGGAGGAGGACAAAAAAACCTGAATTGAAATTCTTTCCAAAGCTAAAAAAATAGCAACAAATGTAGTACATGGAATTAGTTGGAAACTAAGTATAGTGTCCTTGGTTAAAAACGAGAAAAATTAGTATTTAATATGTTGATAACAGATCGCCTAATTAGAAACGTGGGAAGTTACCGTAACCGACCGTACACCAAATCAATCAAGTGGCATGAATTGTAGTTAAGGAAATGCACTAAAACCCCACTTTACTAAGGAATGAATTAAGAAACGATGCTTGGTAAATCAAAAAGAAAGCTTAGCGAATGAAAAAACAGTGTCGAAACACAAAAACGACGACCCAAAATGAAACGCTCGATAATTACCGTAATCCCTATCGCGACAGCGGGAATGCATTATTAGCCAATTACCATCAATATGTTCCTTTATTGTGAGAATCCGGCGCACATTATCTATTCTATTCATATTCATATCCTGCACCAATAGAAGAATTTTAGGCAGCGAAATCTTTAAGACAGTCAGCAGCAAAGTCAACGAGTTAAGACTTAGCAACGAAAAATACGGTGTTTAATCGACATAAGCATCTGAATTTTGAGGTAACACTACTCAAAACACAGCCGTAACCATAAACACGTTCGTCTTAAATTTCATGATCTTAACAAAATAACAACACCGCTTCTATGCCTATTTAAAATATTCAGTGGGAAGCGAATATACATTCCGAAAATACAACGCTTATACATTTCTAATGTCTAAAGCTCCGAAAGAACTAATTTTCTAGGTCGGATGAGCATGTCTCATTCGTGTAGTGTTCTATTGAAGAACATCCGTTCCGGAGATCAAGAAGACGAACAACTGTGAACCATCGACTCGAATCATCGGCAAGAAGACCAATAACTGTGGACCAACGACTCGAATCATCGCCTCTGATGAAGATGAAAACGTCGAAGCGTTAGCCAAATAAATCTATTTATCGACCTCGTGTAGGCTCAACAATTTAAACACATGTTGATTATTTTGCTACTGAGATTAAATGATGGTCGCTTTGAAAACTGTTCTCTAGATGACTTAATCAAAAGCAACAACTACAAGATTGCAAAAAAAGCAAAAACTAGGAATCCTAGCATGCGCAATATCAATTTGAAAATAGCGTTTGAAATACACTCTTTGCACTGAGTTTGTCACGAGAGCTCTAGACTACGCCAGTTTGCACACTTTCATAGATGATTACATCAAACCAGGTCTAGTATAAAAATTTTAGATAAGATATGTAGGATTGGTTTCCGTTTAGACAACCGTAGCCAAATTCACAATTCATAGGACTTACTACTTACTGCATTCTTGTAATGATGTGTTAAGAATGTTAATGGCCTATGAACAGACGAAAGACTTATCGTCGTCGTCCGTATTTAAGAGATCTGCGTCAATTAGTGAGAATGCAAACTCGCGCAAGCAGCAATCTGCGCTTGCTCGCCGTCGTTGTATGTTAATTGAGATAAGCCGGTGTGCTGGAGATTAGTGTTACGTCTCAAGAAGCGACAGCTGACAACACAACTGCAGCATGCGGGAAACAGTAGCGTTTCTGGAAACATCACATACACCTTCCTCTTACAGGCAGGTGCATTCGTCTTTGTAAGATCTTGTCCAAACCCATTTGATATTGGTAAGATGAACCACAAACCAACTAATCAAAACGATGTTTAGAGCACCCGAAAGGTGCTTCCACTAGAAAATTTATGGAAATCAAAGCTTTTGAGACAACGTTCATCTCAATAGAAAAAAAAACAATTCTGACTAAAAAATGACAAGAACGAACTACGAAGCGCTATATTACGAAAGAAATAGAAGTGATTTTATCGAGTACTACATAGTTACAGCAAAAATATAGTGATACAAGTCGTCCAAAGACGAATCACTCCCGTTTTCTTGTTAGGTGTTCAATAAACATATAAGTATTCATAACTTTAATACCGCAGTACTAAAGGGTTCGATGATTTCCACACTTAGATCTAAATATAACGTATATGACTTTCCAACAAACCTTTTCTCATTGCCATATGACTTTTGGGCTACTTTGGCGTGAAATATAGAAACCACGCAATCGTAATGGTCTCTGTTGCACAAGTATTGTGCCATTCGATCGCTAAAACACAGTCTTCGAGGAATTTCGTACGTAGCGAAATAGGTAAAATTAAACATTACCTAGTTAGCGGCTGTGGAACATCACCTATCGATAACTGCAGAGGCGAGGAGTGCATCATCGGATGAATGAGCGACGAATAAGGTGTAGCCGAACCATTGAATTCGCCGCCAAGAAACGATGAAGAAGCTGACACGTTGTAGAATTGATCTAAAATAGGCGCGTATTCGCTTTTCAATTGAGTAGACTCGACTGAATGTAGAAGGAATCTCGGTCGACCATTTGAACATCGTTTCCCATAGTTGGCGCTCCTTTGTGCGCCACCACTATAATAGAGTGCCCAATGTCCGGTATCATAAAAACGAGGTGCAAACCGTTCCTAATGGGCTTCATAAAATTTGAATTCGTGGAGAACTTTAAGCACTACACATACCCATTCCGCAGTGAGCAAGACCTTGCTGGCCATAGAGCAAATGTCGTGAGTGGATCTGAGATGGCTGTGGTATCGACGGTGCTTGGAAGTTGCACGGAAACTGACCGATATTCCACACCTCGGTTGGTTGCGGTGGATAGTAGTAGGCAGTGGAAGAAGAGATGTCCTGGACGGGGAGGTGATAAGGCAGATTTCTACTAAGCAACGATGCATCCTCGCAGTATTGGTGTTGGTCAACCACTGCACCGGACAGTGGTGCTGCTGACGGAGGAGGGGCTGTCGCTGCGACTGAGGATGCTGTCTGGTAATCCATGGCGAGAATCTCCCGTTCGGCCGACACAAGAGTAGTGTGGGATGGGAACCGTTCGCACGTTGATGCTGCACACACGCAGACTTCGAAGAGTAGATCTAACTGTGGGAGACTCCCACTGGCTCCACAACTACCATCCACAAAAGCCGGAGGGGCGGGACCAAGCCGCCACGACCAATCAGCGTCGCGAGGACAGCCAAGCGCAGATCAATGCAATGCGCTGAAAACGGTATCACCGCGGCGAAATCTCAAAGCTTTGCTGCTGAGGGATTTGAAAAATCTATTCGTTTCATTAGAATCCTTAAATCATTCAAGATATCTAATTTTAAAGTAGAAATTAATGAGACCGAAAGCCCTAATAACTGAACGATGAATCACCACGCATTAAAGAAATAAATACTTTCGTGGGAAGCGTAAGTAAGTGTGCAGAGGCACATGTGTTTCATGTAACATATTGGTCAATAATTTATCATAAATCGCTCTATTGTTTGGAGAGGGCTCATCTTGCCACCAGATGATGTCTTGAGTGACCTCGTTCAATACCGTATCATCGCATCGAGATCTTCTTCATCTATTCTTCTATACCTATGATTTTATTGCAGGAGATAGGCAAACATTCAAAACTACGCATTAGAACTAAACTATATGAAATATACTGCTGTTCAGTTCGAAGATTTTTAGATTCTATCAAACATATTTTTTTAAGCATAAACTTTCTCTAGTAAAAACAAACACTGTTTAACTAGTTGAATGCCCCAAAGGAATAAATGAAATAGCTAGAGAATTATAATGGGGAAAAATTTCAAAAAGAAATAATGTGACAACTGAATAAAGGAATCCTAATTATTGTTATATTCGGATGCGACTCAAGCCAACTACCGTAATATCATTAGGAATGCTCCGGAAAAAAAGCGAAAGCAGTGCTAGATCACTGAGTGAGACGGCAAACACTCGAGAAGTCATGGGAGGGTGGAAATAGCCGCACATTAGAGCTCTTGCCTTTCTTCGATTGGGATCACCGAGGGTTCGTCAAATTTAGAGATCTCCCTAGACATCAATTTGTATAACAACAATATAAAAATCCAAAATGTTGAAAAAAATGTGAACCACATTTCCTATTCCTCATTAAACTGAAATTTAAAGTTAAAGAGATACTGGAAATATAGGTTTGTACTACAGTAATAGTCGTTGTAAGTTCAAGGCCGCGAAAACGTTTGTTGTACGATAAAAACGAAACACTGATATGATAAACTGTTCCCACCGGAAACGAAGTAAGCTGAAAAGTTACAGCTTATCTGAACGCTAAAACTTTACTATGGTATGCCAATACGACCGTGTTTCATTGCCACCCAAAGCTCAATTTCTTTATATTAGCTTACATTTTAAGACAATGTTCAGTTTACTCCCGGAGAAACAGCGGATCATGCTGTTTTTTTAACCACTGTCGTGAAACTCTCGATAACGAAACCTTACAGGCCAACGGAACAGGCTTTGGCCCATTTACATAGGTTTTCCTAGCATAATTTCCGTCTCTTCGGAGTTTTGCTGGTCTAGCCATTATGGTTCCCCGGAGTCCCGAGGTCAGCCTGGCCAAAGTCTGCCCAACGTCTTCACTACCATAGGCAGATTAGAGGAAGATTTACCACCATGAGACTAGTTTCATATTAGAACGGTGGTGGACCCTGGTAATGGTTTAAGGGGTTTACATAACTGTTCTAAACAATTAGCTCATTTTTACAACACTTTGGAACTAAAATTTACAGAGGAAGCAAAAGTAAGATTCGAATATTTAGAGCTTCCACTGCAACTACGACATCGGCAAGCATCAGCAGCACATTCAGGCATCCTGTTCTACGAAATTTCGACTGCTGAATTGCTATGGTGTTCAAAAAACCAGCATTAACGAAAATAGTGAAAAAAACGTTACGAGAGGTTCACAAAACCATGATTTTTCCGTTGTGAAAAAAACTCATATCTTATTGGAAGGATGTGTATATGCAAATATTCTTTAATTCAAGTAATAAAGTTCACTATGAGTTGCAATATTTTGGTTTAGCACACTGGGATTTTTCTCGCCAGATCGGTCACAAATTTCGCACCGCTTGTATCGAAATCAATGCACAGTTCCTTAAATACTGTCCTAAAATAGTAATAAATAATTAAGAAGAAAAAACTCTTGAAATTCCCGAGACCGCCTTTCTATTAACCTCGGTAATGATTGGTAATTCAGTGTTTTCTTCAATAAGCAAACATACCAACCTCGTGTCTGTTTACTGAAGAAAACATCGAAATTGTTGAAAATTGTCTCTTACTTTTCGTCTATAAAATCACGTTCTTAAAACTGGAACCTCTTTTAAGAAGGATGAACTCATCGATATAGCACATTACTTATTCCCATTGATTACTGTGGGAAAAGGCGCCGCGAGCAATCCAGCCACCACACCACTGGAATAAATTCGTCTTCACAGGAAAAACGATGGGTGGGGAATGGAATGATTTCAACATCAAGGGAAAAAATGTGCAGAAAAAGATGATTAAAGTGAAAAATTAAAAAGACTACATTTGAGAAGGGTTAAAGAAGTTTTCCAGGAAAGAAAGTCTTTAAAAACGAATTCATAGGCGAATGCTTACGGCAGTGTTCCTCAATGGTAGTACGTACCAAGATTTTTAATAACGCAGCACAAGTTTGTTAGAAGCTTAACTTCATATTAGGTGACTGCTTGGTAAATGCTACTTTCTTTGAACTCAGAAAAGACGACATTAAACGGCGGCTTATTCGGGAAAACTCTTTTCACCACACAACAGAGGGTTCTAGATCAAAGTTTCGATCTCAATAAAATCTCAAAAAATTGCTAAACAGCTCTGTTAGTGCATTCTCAACATGACGCAACATTACCTGATCTGCCCCAAAAGCCAGATGGGGGCTGCATTACCTCAGTAACCAGTTATCCAGTCTTTCTACTATTTGTGATTGGAAAATAGTGATCATATGACAGGAAACAAAAGCACCATATCGGAAAACTGGACAGATTTCCTAAATTCTTTAGTTCAGAAGCTGTTGTAGACATTTCTAAGCACAGAACGCGAATTATGTAGGTGAAGAAAAAAGTAGCTAAAACAGTAGATGGAGAAGTTGGTACATAAAAAAGACATCGGTCACATTAAAAATTCTATATTATCGGATTTCGAGAGTTCCTTCATTGAAATATTCTGATATGGATAGTGTAGAGTAGGTGCCTCATGCCGCACTGGTGCTTCCGTTTACACGTAATCACTTTTATGCATAAGTGCGGTGTGCTAACGTGAACGAGGATTCTATCTCACAAATACATTACTCCAGAATTAACCCAAGTAAATCGGAAATACATAGAAGGTTGTTCCAAAGCCTGGCCCTAGGCGTACTCTGTGAAAGCACGGAATGAGTACACCCAGTTCACACGATATGACATGACATCCGTAGATAAATAGTAAAGAAGCAATAAAAATAGAGAGATTCATTCTGCGGATCTCAAAATAGTCTCCGATACTGTGGCATTCAACAGAAAGCTACCAAAACCTCAAGGCCTTCCTTGGATGCCAAAATGTAGAACTGTGGAACGCATTTGCATTTACAACCAACGTATCATAACATTAATAGTCTCCACCGAAACACTTGACAATTCAAACTGCAACAAATACAGTATTATCAAACAGACGACGACAAAAAGAAACCACCAAAAAATGGCTGTGGTGCCTCCAACAATATCGGCTTGGTCATGAACATCAAAATCGACGATCCGGATCGAATGTTTGCAATAAAAAGCTGTGGATCACTGCCAACTCTGACAATCTTCTTAGCTTGTGGGTCAATATCAAGTTACGAAGGAGATGTGAACGAGGCATTCTAAAAGGAAATGGAAGAATTCTAGAAGAAAGGTGCACCTGCTATGCCACAACTGGTGACTTCAGGCAGCACCTATAGAACATAAAAACAGTAGCAGAGTGACAGGATGTTTCACGTAATCACCAGAATCGACTAATAACAACCCGAAATTCTAAAAGCCCATAGCCCAATGTCGGATGTCAGATGAAGTGCCCCATAATCAGAGTTCGTCACCAATTCAGGTTTTGCACGACCAACCTTTTCGTTTTTCGAAGGTTCTATTTGCTAGAGTCTGGTTTACTCGTGTTTACTCTTACCCCCCCCCCCCCCTCCAAAAAAGGATACCAAGAAGCAAATTTCGAGAGACCAAGTCTTAAAACTGTCATAATTAATAATCTTCTAGCTTTCAGGCTTGGCTTTGGGGATAGTGTTATCGAAAACACCGATTAGAAAG